TCCTTGTCACAACAATGGGACGGTGCTCTCCAAATAAAAGACAAAGGTTCAGCGCTGCAATTGCATGCTCATACAGCTGCTGGTGGAAAGGCCTCCTCTAAAGGGGTGCTCTAGAGGGCATTTGACCTTCTCTTCCATGTTTTCTCTACACCTCCGGTGAGCACGGTTGGCAACGAACGGTGCAAAATAAGGTCAAGATACACACACACATGTGCTGGGCAGACATCTGCACTTTTCCCCACCATACTCGGCCTCTCCCGATGGACTAACTGTGGTGCACCCTTTTGCCACTCCTAGGTGGACAGATACCTGCTCCATTGTTTCCACTGCCGGCGGTGAGAAATCAAATGTAACTTGGAGACGCCTCTGGATTGCAAGTCCAGTGCACTAACCGCTACACCACGGCAGAGTCCCAAACGTGATAAACTACGGAAGAAAAAAAAACATCCAAGCAGAACAACCAATATCTTCATCTTTTAAGTAATAGTAACAACATTCGATTAGTGCTCTGAGCACTACTCCCACTGACTCCGCCGACACGATGGTCTGCGCGGTAAATTGGAGACGGTGTTTCAAAGTTGTGGTGTGCTAAATGCCCCCTCTTGCTTTGAGGGTGTTGCTAAATGAGCCGAACCAGGGCACGCATTCAATGGGCAGCTGTGACAACTGTCACACTCGTGCTGGTGTGGAGAAGGACAACAGAACACAGAACTGCGGCTGGCCAGAATTAGGGGCACCGTAATTATCTGCAAATATATCTCGCACAATCTCCACCGCAACTCAGAGGGTAACAGCACAGCGTCGACAGGAAGAGTAGATGTTTGTCATGGGCTGTGAATTTTAGAGACCCTTTGAGAAAAGGGGCTGAGAAAACAGAGCGAGGGCAGGTGAGCATCAATAAGATAGATGGCAACAAAAATGTGTTCCTTTATCGTCTAACCAGCGATGAGAGGAGTATAAATTGAGCGCGCAATGATGGTGTCATTGTTCAGATTGTGGTCGTCATCGTCGGCAGCCATGATCACTCCACTGCTGGATAAAGGTCTCCCGATGCTGCTGCCCACCTTGCTTGGTCATGTGATGCAATAATCGATCTATCGCCTCAACACAAACCGATTTCACCACTCCGTCACATTCAGAGACGCATTGCAAGTACGGCTTTCAATAACTCCATAGTGAAAAAATAAAATAGCCTTGAGAAGCAGGATTAATGGATACCTATTATTGCATAACTCGTACTTAAACATAAACACATACATTCACATTGATACGATCAGGACTGCCATTAAACCGAATGAAAGACGAGGCGTTTGGCCTCATTCAAGCACAGGCTTTAACACAACCAGCTTCCGCTGCGGGTTAAAGAGCTGCAGTAAACGACATGCAAAACAAATAGCCCCGCCTATTAGTGCGGAGCACAGGCTGCCAGGGCAAATGCTGTTAATGAGCACCTATTAGGGGCACTGCTGTGCACAATAGACGACTCGTGGGAACAGAATGCCCCTCAACCACCTTTGTCTGGAAACTCCACTTTCATCAGGTATGCATTTAAGGCCGAGTTCACCTAGAGGAGGGCTGGTGTAAATCTGGGTTGTAATTATTATCAATGCTGTCCATGGCCAGGAATTTAATGCAGACTTGCACTTGGCCAATTGTTTTTACAAGTGTGTGTGTGTATATATAGAGAGAGATATTCTCATATCTCTCAAGACAAACACATAAGTGGCACAATACCTGCCTGCATTATGCATGCCAGTCTATCCAGTGGTACCGGTGAATGCATATATATATCATGACGCATAGAACCTCTCAATATTTTATTCGGTCCAAATTTACCCCACAGCTATGGCTGTCTTGCACTGAAAAGCCAACGGGGACAAACGTGTATGGATTTAAGTGCTTTGTCTCCTTTCTGGGATTTGTAAATATGAAAGCCTAGGGCCAGTTCAGATATCACTTACTATGGGTGCACAGCCATGGCTGGGAATCAAACATCGGTCACAGCTCCTATTGTGCAATGCACTGTTGTGTATTTTATTGAGATCCACTTATCGGAGTCCAGAGTTGTGCTGGTTTTAAATTTATGTCAGTGTAACCACCTATACGGAAACATAACATGAATTACTATTGATAAACCACTGCTAATTATTGTACAGCAATGCTGTTGAGGACAGTAATAATACTAATTGTGGATTAAAATGGAGAGCCACTTCTTAAAATACATATTATCGTGAATCTACATTCATGACGGCTGAAAATCTCATTTAAATGTGCTTGAATCACAGTCTCAAGCCATCAGGCAAGTGTCAAGTACGGCTCTACCTATGCATTATGAACCAAATTAATAAGTGGCATTGTGACAGAGTAAACAGATATTTAAAAAATGATGCATAGAATTGGTGATGTCAGAACAATTCATGAAGATACGGGTGAAGTGGAGTCATTCGTAAAGTGACCCACTGCCAAAACTCTAGTACTGAAGTTACGAAGAGTAATAAAACAATGATGTGTCAACTATCCACCACATTTCTCTCTATGCAAAAAAAATAATCAATGTTGGGGGTTAGTGGAACCAATGTAGGCAGGCTGGAATGTAAAACCCATGACACATTCAAGCCTTATAAAGTTTACACAATTATATTCTCTGGTATGTACCGTCTGTAAACTTCTCCTGCAGAGCCAGAGCAAAGTGTTCTCATGACACTTATCATCGCTTTTTTGAACTTTTAGAAGCAACACAGCTTCATGTTTTATAGGATGGTTGCCACAAGTCAGCAGCAAACAGGGATCTAGTCTCCTAAAACTCAACCCTGCACAGTGACACCAACTTCACCGTGAAGCTCATTGCGAGTTTTTTTTTTAATAATCACTGAGTGACTGACATTTCACGTTAAGGGGGCATCTTTTGTGACCTGCCATCCTTTGGCAATTTGAAATTGAGTCGTCCAAGTTAACTTAATAATACTTCCTTATTTACTCTTGAAAGCCCCGACTGAGTTTTTAGACTTTTCTTTATGAGATGTCTGCTTGCGATGGCATTTCTCTGTGTGGGAGGAAACTATAATGGCTGTGGGGTGGGGGGGAATCCACACAGCAAGAAGCAATGAAACTCTAACTCCTCTGAGAAAGGTCAACAACTTACGTGCTGCACTACCTTTTACAAGAACCACCTTGCTTCCTTGCCCATAGGTGGTCTCATTTATGATGGTTCAATCTCTATGTGATCCACCAACACTATCGTAGTGGCTGGATTAGAAATATATATATATTTTTTTCACCACACTTAACCGAGACCTACAAAATGTATGTCAGGTCCTTCTGAAACCGACGCAGTTTTATAAATATATATGCAAATAATAATGCTCCACGACTGAACAACGTCAGCAGTTTGTCTGCTTTGAAACAATCCACAATTATATTCTCCTTGGTTCTTTCGGTAAAGTCACGTAGAATGGAGTCTGAAGACTCTGTCTTCTCGACAGACCTGTTCTCCACCTGAGGAAGGCTGCTTGCGTTGTGGCCGAAACGTCGTGAGAATTATTTTATTATGTTTTATTTTTATTATTTTATTATTTCCATTCTACGTGACTTTACCGAAAGAACCAAGAAGATGAATCCCTGCAGTCAGGAAAGCTTTACATCGAATTATTTTCTCATTGTGCAATTGGCATGGTGTCTTGCGACAAGGAGTTCCATTCAGCACTCGAACACGGGGCAGTGTACTTTCACATCGTGGGAGAGAATTGTCCCCAACGACAACAACAAATAACTTCCCACGAGTTAACTTCCAGACGGCTCTCAACCAACAAAGAATTGGGGCACCCCTCTTTTGCCCAGCGACGAGTGGTTGCTGTAAAGCAAACAACGTGTGTGCTTCTCATCGTGTGACCCTAAATGTATGTCAATTGGCACTTCGGACACCTTTGCAAATGAGATGTTCCATCTTAAAGGATTAAGCAGGTGGAAATATTTGAGTAAGTAAATACGAATAAAATAACATAAAAACGGTCCTCCAAGTTGAAATGTGCCGCTTAATATTCTGACATTATCAGAGATTGGCTTCCTTTGTTAAATTAACTTGTATCACACACTTTTGCTATTTCACTTAATGTTTCACAAATGTGTTTCTCGAAAGAAAAATAATTAGTCTCAACGGACCCTCCCACTGGTTTTAAATAAAGTCCATGATCATCCTGCCTGGATGCACACGTTAGCAACACTGGACTTGCAATCCAGAGGTCTTCTCGCAGTGAGATTTTGTCTCATTGCGCGGCAGCAGTCTCAATAACAGGCAAATTTCTAAAAACCTTTTGTCCTCCGAGCAGTGTGAATGGGTAGGGCACCACGGTCGGTCAACCGGCATGTCAGTGCGCGATGGCGTCACGTGTGTGGCTACTCCCACCCCTTCCAAGACGTCAGGTCAGCTAGGAAGACGGCTCGGCGAAAATACCCTCTATCGGAGCTCTCTAAACGATAAACGAAAAAATATTATGATTTTTAACCAGGTCAGGCCCACTGAGCTTTATAGGTCTTTTTCAGAAGCGATGTCGCCACAAATGATAGCTCAACCAAGTGGCTTATCACTTGGATATTTACAGCAGCCGAATACTCTGAACGCGTGACGTTGATTCTAAATGTGGAGGGAAAAAAACGGAGGACGCGGAGAAAAATCCACGAGACCACGGCAAGAACACGCAAACTCCAAATATACAGCAGCAGGCGTCCGTGTCAGGATCGAACCTACGACCTCCTGCATACCAGGCGAGGTAGTTAACATCTCGCCACCGTGGCACCCTTGAGCTTCCCTCCAGTGGAGTCTCCATCCACGAGCGGCGGCATGAGCGAGCAACTGCAAGGGGCCTCACCTCTTTCCCTGCCCGCCCCCCCTCCACCCCAAACCTACACCCGCGCGCGTTCCGAACGACGGACTACGAGCCCACCGCTCTCAGGAACGCCACCACGAGAACAGACCCCACCCACCTCTCCGCGAGGGGACTCACCGGCCTGGTTGGTGGTGATGTTGACGGCGACCGACTGCGGCGGGTAGGGGCTCTGCTCCGACACGCCGTTCACGGCCTGCACCTCGAACGTGTACGGCGTGTGCGCCATGAGCTCGCTCACGAGCACGCGTGTCTGCCGCAGGCCCAGCTGGCGCGGCTCGAAGCGCACGGCCTCGTTGCAGCGCGTGCACACCAGGCGGTCCTTCCTGCACAGGCGGCACAGCACGTTGTAGGCCAGGTCCGAGCGTCGGCCCGAGTCCAGGGGAGCGCTCCACTCGAGCACCACGGACGTCTCGTTCACGCTCGACATGACGCCTCGCGGAGCCGACGGGGTGCCTGCGATCGAGGGGACGGGAGGAGGAAGGCGGCGGGCAGAGATGGGAGCGAGCGACCGTGGTTAGCGCGGCGGCATCGGCTGAGGCAACTCGCATCTGCATGGCAACTACCTGAATGAGAATCACAATATGTATTGATACATGTCAGGAATCCGATGAGCTATGAAGCTATTTTTCACAGATGTCCAGTAGTTTCACAGATGTCCAGTAGTTTCGTGGATATTCATGAACGCGGCCGTAAACGAACGAGACTGCACGTATTTACGTATGTTGAACTTCTTTCGCACCGTACGTAACCAACCGTGCTAAACGGAGGTGCAGGGGGGAGGGGGATGACAAACTTAAAACAGAAAGCAGTTCTCAAGTTTGAACGGACACTGAAAAGTGCACAAAGCAGAGTGGATATTTGCACGCTGGGAACGACTCCGGGAGTCAGGAATGTGTGGATTAGAGAACCGACAAAGGTCAATGGTATGATTCAAACCGTTACGAAACGTAACTTTCCATTGGCATGACACGTCACTAGAAGTGATGATGGGCAACGCTTTGAGCACAGGGACACTTTGACCATCGCGACTTTACTTCTGGGTTTATAGGGGCAGCTGTACATGAAGTAACCTCACGAACATGTTTCAAACGGAATGTAAATGTAGGCACAAGTTATCACCGCGCTGTTAAATGCATGGCTGATCTTTGGACGTTGTCACGGGCGGCTTATGATCCTGTTTACAACAAAAACCTAATTAAAAAAAAATGCATGGCCGATCATACCAGGCAAACTTTCAATTATTTAGTTCAGTTTATTTTATAACAAAATTATAGACCTCATAAGTCTTACACTATGGGAACCTCGTGCGCCTTTTGGCGTCATCTGGTCCAACCCATGTGAGACTAGGCTCTAAGGAAAGCTGTCTCGGGTGTGGACCAATCAACTTCAAGGACAGTGCACATTATCAGAGTTATGTATTTTGTTTGTATTATGACTGCAGGTATTGCGGTCTATGCAAACATGACTCCTTGTAAAAACGTGTCAGTTTTGTTGCCAGATAGAAGGGTAAAAAAACAATTATTTTATAAGTTTTCTTTGATAATGGATGCATTGGGCTTGGAGGAAGTGGAGACCAATCACATAATGTTAGAGGCGCTGTGCACACCAATTAAAAATACTATGCGCAACAAAAACTCGTCTTCTACAATGAACAGAGCGTTTAGAACATCCAAATAACTTGTGTCATGAACTCTCTAAATTGTATTCCCTCAATATGAATCAGGCTGTTGAGAACATTGTACAAACATACATCGTCAATGAAGCCGTTTCGTATTATGCCCCATTATCATTAAAAGTTACGTGATGTGCTCATATTAAATTGATTTTTTAAAGCTTAAAATTGCTTTGTATTCGTATTTACCCAGGAAAAACTCAGAGTCTCATGGATTTTTTGCCAAGAAGGTCCTGCCAAGTGTTTTGCCGTAGGGGTTCATGATTTTATATTTCAGTGGAATAATTAGAATATTTAATGTATATAGATGATGGTGCATAAATATGACAGGAAACTTTTATATTCGTAATTTTGTTCTCATGGACTTTGTACGAAAGTTGTTAGAATTTATAAGTCTGAGCGTCTTTGGATAATGCGTTTAACCACGAGGTATTTCTTTACAAATTATCTTTTAACGAAATGATAGACATTTAAAAGTGAATAATTTAAGCTATTTATTTCATATAATTATTGCATGGAAGGAATACCAATAATTACAATACTATGCTTATTACCTCACATTTACCATCAGTGCAAAACTGATGCTATGATTATAATTAATACGAAAAAAAATACTTTAATATAAACCATTGCTGTTGTTTTGCTCGATTATTATTTTTAATCGTCAATTAAATACTATATTACAAACCCATTTATAGAATGGTATTTCATTCATGATGTTACAATTACACAGCTAAATTACCAATGCATGTTCACAATGACCTATTGTATAAAACACTGCAGTGTATTGTGGGAAAACATTAACTTGTGCACACCGCGTGGAAAATGTAACCAAAAGAAAGAATGCGTTTCATTTTGCACCGAGGTCACGAAACATTTGTGTCTGTGGGTTTGTGTGCGAACATGCAGCAAGCGTATCGTTGCCAGCCATAATGTTTCGAACACTGCACGAAGGCCTTCCAACAATCTGACCACCGCTCATGAGCCCACAATCCTATCGTTCCACAATCCACCTCACCTCTTGCACACGAGCAGATTTCCTTGCCCCATTCTCCACCGCGGTCATGTTCCCTCGTTCTATGCGCATTCAGACGCTGTCTTTCCGACAGACCTGTTCTTCACCTGTGGACGGCTGCTTGCGTTGTTGCTGAAACGTCGTGGCGAATTATTTTATTACGTTTTATTTTTATTATTTTATTATTTCCCTTCTACGTGACTTTACCGAAAGAACCAAGAAGATGAATCCCTGCAGTCACGAAAGCTTTAAATCGAAATTTAACGATCTATTATCCCTTGCAGGGATTTATCTTGGCAAAGCCCACTTATTTTTCATCAGTCACTATGTCTCCGATTTATATTGACGGACACTTGCCTCTCGAAATAATCCCAGCATGCATCTCTCTGTGCACTTGGCATATTTTTTAAAATTTTGATTTTCTACTTGTCAGTGTTGTTGATCCAGGTGATATATACCAGTACAAAACAAATTCTTATGGAGGCACAGGAGGCAATTTCTCTTTCATAACCACGTTGTCTTTTCTAACATCACTCCATCCTGCCATTGCTTACTTCTTTATTTCATTGTTTTATCACATCAATTCCTTTAAAACGAGTGAATATTGACAACTGTGATGCCAGAATGTTATTGGACAACAACAACATGTCTTGGGGTCGATCTCAAGACCTTTGAGGAATTAAAAGTTTATTTTTAAATGCATCTGGGTTACTTCACTTTTGACTACAGCAAAAAGAGTCCTATACAGATATTCACACTACAGTTTTCAGTCGCATTGCAATTAAGTTATCGCAGCTTCTCGATTTTAATTTGCATTTAGATGGCATGATTGAAATCCAAATTGTCTCATTGCTTCTTCATTAACAATGGTATTTGACAAAAAAAAGACTTTCCTTTGGCATGCAAAATTGGGGATGGTTTGCCAGAAACAAAATACCAATTTCATTTACTGCATTGTACATATATAATGAATGTCATTGTACAGATTCTACTATTGTATTACAGGGTCAAGTGCCCAAAAATGTGTGTTTTGTTCATCTTTTTTATTGCCAACAAGGCAAGGTTTCCAATCTCGTACTTGGGGCATAACATCTCATTCTTGAAATGAAGCTTACAATTACACTTATGCACAATGGGGACCATTACTCTTGTTGTGGGAAACCATATTCGTAGATAATTGCCCTGGAAAAGCAGGGACTGATTGTGCAATGTGACTCTGATTTCGCAATTAATCGTGAGCAACACGACACAATGAAAGAGGCTGGCAAAATATCGCGGGCAGTATCTAAAGAGTGCGAATTCCTATTACACAAGCTATTGTTATGAATAACGGTATCGTTTGTGTGGCTCAAACGAGGACGCGCATATACACTCTAATCACAAGGCTATTACACGCATTTGCATAGAGCCAATTGGCTTAAGCACCGTCTCAAAAGGTGTTGCTTGTTTGGGGAAATTATGAAGGTCAAATGTCAATGAGATGCTTGTGATTGGTTAAGAAAAATAAAAACAGCCACGGTCCCAGAATGCCCTCGTTGTAGTTTGGATAGCAAACAAGCCGCAGCACGAATCAGATGCAAGGTCTATTTGCTTCACATCACGTGCCGACGAAATGCCATTCAATATAGGACAACGATGAAATCCCCACATTCCTATGGAAAAGGATTGTATTATATAAGCTGCACTCAAAATGCATTGCAGCAATTCTCTTCTACATGATGATTATCAATCTCGTGGTGGAAATTCAACATTCTCACGGCAGTTGCCAGTCTCTGAGTGCAACAGTCATCATCAACTCTGGATGAATAATGGGCTGAAATACTTTATAATCTCATTCATATATTGACTAAACAGATGTAATATCAAAATGATTTACCGTATATGCAAAATAAAAATATAGAGCATCGCCAACAGATGACAAATGTTTTTGCCAATGTAGTCAATGGTCAAAACATGCATCTCAAAATTATCAGTATTGTATCAATTGTAAATGAAATGAAACCCATATGTAAGAGGTGGCGTCCTTGCCTTCATTACATCATGTAGTTCACCAGCGTTGCTTCAAGAAAGTCTGTCTACTGATGAGACATTGAATTACACAATTAGTGATAAATACACTCCTAGAGGGCCAAGCAGCCAAGGGGATTTGTGTACAACGTACTTTTTTGTAAAAATATTTGTGTATGTGGAGACCAAAGTATGGGACGTAGTGGCAATTCATTTCGTTATAATCGAGTGCAAACACTTGTGTCGTCAGATTATGTGAGAACTATGTAGAAGAGAGCAAAGTTCATTCTATTTCACCTCTGGGTATGAACTGGTAGTGTTAGAGACGTCACCTGAGAAGCCTGATAATGGCATTGGGTCTCTGAGACACCTAACCGACTCTAATGCAATCAATTACGTAATGGACGTGAAATAAAAAGGGTAATACGTTAACAATGGACTCTAACAAACACAGAGTGCCGATTTCATCTCCACACGATGACACACACTCTAGCTCGGGGTCATTATATATTTATATATTCTAATATATTTATATATTAGAATAAACAAGGCAAGGGTCCACTGAGATAGGGAGACCTGTTAATGTCAAGAGGTAGAAGAGCATAAATTGTTTTCACTGCTCTGCAAATTACTTAGAGATAGCTTCGCACTAGATCAATACTGGAAGCCAAAGGGCATTTTAAGATTATGCATCCATACCAACGTCTCAAATGATACCGATAGGAAAACGAAAAATCATCGCAAATTGGGGCAAATGCT